GAGCCCGCAGGTTTTAAAATTAATTAATTTTTAAAACCTTCACCCATTCAACATTTTTGTTTGAGAATTTTCATAAGCCCAGTCGAATTAATTGTTTAATTTCAAAATTATCTTTAATAACTTAGTATTATCGACGATGGGCCGTACAATACTTTATTAAAATTTTTGAAATTATTAAGGCCCAATAAAATCCAATCATGCTTATCTGTTGGGGCCTCACATGATTATTTTATTGATAGGCCCACAATGCGCTTGGAGATTAAATTAATTTCTTAATTTAAATCTCTTCCCATAGATATTTAAGTCCAATCTAATAAAATCCAATCATGCTTATTCGATGTGACTTCACATGATTATTTTATTAATGGTCCTATAATGCGCTTGAAGGTTAAATTAATCTCTTAATTTAAATCTCCTTCCATTCAACATAAGCAACATTTTCTAATTTCCAAGAATTATTTAATTGAGAGTATCCTTTGTTTGATTTCAAAAACTATATAAGTAAGAGCGCCGATAAACGTGCACTAAGCTTAACATAATTTTGAAAGCATTAAGGTCTTGAAATCCGGTCACTTTACGTCAGCGTGTGCTAAACAATCATGATACATGAATGTTGTATGCAGCGTGTGTTATTCCATGACCATTTCAGAAAACCCACAAATTACTCGCAAAATAAAGAATTCTCTTAGGAAATTTTCTCTAATTATTTTTCTAGATTTAAATCATCCAAATAGCTGACTTAATTATTAATCTAGATTGCAACAATCATAATAATTATCATTTATGAGGATAATTTGAAATCAAAATAATTTCCATAACGATTATTTGTCTTGATGTTAATTATCCAAAATTAATTAATTGCATTATTAATCTAGATTTTTAATAAAAATCATAATAATTATTAATTAATTTCTTAGGATGATTTAAAATCAAAATAATCTCATAATAACTATCATACTAGTCGTTGAAGACATAATAGCTATTATGCTCATGCAATCATACAAGTTATGCAACAATATGGCACCATCTATTCTATATGGCATGTTATCGCAATAAAGCATGTTATCAATCATATAATTTATACCAATCAATAAAAGCATTAAATAATAAAATCTAATTACTTTAATCCATGACATTCCTATTTTAAAGAAAATAAAAAAAAAATGTTACAACTTTGGAATTCAACTTCCGCCTAGCCCATAGTATCTGTCTCAAGCCCCTTTAGGGTTTCCATGGGCCCAAAGCCCAAAGACCCAATCCTTTGGCGAGAAACCTTAGGACGCGAAAGAGGAGCCCTAGCCGTCAGGTCTGCCGCGCCGTCACCCGAAGTCAAATCAGGCCGAAACTCCAGGGGAAGGACTGCCACATAGAGACGAGTGCACCGCCGCCGGAACCACCCAAAAAGGTGGCCGGATGCTCCCTCACTCTCCCATTCTTTGCCAGAGAGTGGCGGCCACTCTCATACGCTTGCGGAGGCGCGTTCAAGAGCGTGAAGTCTCCGATGCCAGAGATCCACCCATCGTTGCGTTCGTCTTTCCGTCCTCTTTCCAACCATATATATATCGCCCCGTTCTGAGATCGGGAAGTCCTCGAAAAGTCTCTGACAGTGCTGACTGTGCATCTTCCTCGCGATTTCTCGATCTTGAACTTTTACAAAATATTGAAAAAATACACAGAAATTCCAAAAATAAACAAAAACAGCAAGGAGGAAACCTAATCATATGAGATTAGCCTCCTTGTTACAAATCGAGAAATACACGAGAGACCCTAACCATGGATTAAAGCATTTTTACCGATTAAAATTTAAACTTTTATGAAAATGAATTATAAAATACACATGCTAGATTCATACCATAATCATAGAACCCTAGGTGCCACATTTCAAGAAGCAAAACTAATTACATGAATAGTGAAACTAGATTCACATACCAATGTACAGCCAAGGCTCTGATACCAATTGTAGGAAATCTTAGATTTATGCGGAAGCGGTTTAGGACCTAGTACATTGGTATGCTTACCGAATCATCCTTGTTTCACAATTACCTCTCGGTGCGCAGGTCTCGTGTAGAATCTTCCCTTGTAGGATTCCTCTTCACGAACAGCTCACCTCAGCGCCGCAACACGAACAACCTCCTTGAAGCTGGACTGTGGCAGATCTTCCAAACTATCTCTCGAGGAGGAAGGGGAAGTGTGTGGGCACTGATTAGATTCTGAGCTTGCCTCTTTCTCACAAAAAAGACCTCATTGGCTGATGACTTAAGAGGTACTATTTATATGGGTTCCAAGAAACGCTAGCTCATTGGGCTCTAGGTTCCTTGGACTCTTCTCATACTAATAACCCATTTGGGCTTTAGTAAAAGAGCAAACCCAACACAAACTACTTAGAAGCCAAAAGAGATTGAACAACGCCACCAACGACAACCAAGGATCATAAACTCCAGCGACAACCACAACTTCCGCCATGAAACATACATGAGCTCAACGACGACCGACGCTTTGGTCTCTTAGTCCCTCCAGCTGCAACCACATCTGCGTCGGGTTTCAAGTGGAAGAGGGTTCGGATTATCAGGTGGTGGTGTTGATGATGCTCCTGTGGAGGAGAAATTAGAAATTTGGGGTTGAGGGAATTGATTGATGCATCATTCTCTTCTTTTATTTATTATTTTGTTTTATTAAAATTTTAAAAATAAAAATTGAATCTTTATGAATAAGAGTTGTTATATTTTTTGGGTACATGAATCAGTGTTGTTTTGTGTTGTTGTTGTTGTTGAGATTGGGCAAGGGACGTATATCAACGTGTATAAGGCTGGAGACCTTCTTACTGGAAAGATTGTAGCTTTGAAGAAGGTTGAATTTGATAATTTGCAGCAAAGTGTGAAGTTCATGGCAAGATAGAAAATGAAGGAGACTATGGAAATGGCAGCTGAAGCGAAAAAAAGAAAAGAAAAGAGCATAACAGTCATTTACATTTAAAAGTTGCTTTTTATTTTAACATCCAAATAATATTTTTACTCAAAAGCACTTTTTAAATATTGCATCCAAACACAAAATAATTTTAACTTTTAAATAAAGTTCTTTTGAAAAAAATAATTTATAAAAAATCTTTTTTTTTTCAAAAGTTCATCCAAACGGCCCCTAGTGTTGTTCAAAATCAAAATCTCTATTAAGTACTCCAGCCATGTTCTGTTCTTAAAGTATGGTCCAGTTCAATTTATATGTTAATTTTACCAACCTATATCCAAATTCTGCGAAAACAACATAATTACCGACTATCATTAGTTCAGTTTGTAAGCTGGAACCAGACTTATTTAGATGTTACCAAAATTGATTGATACTTACACAATGAAGCTAGTCTCAGCCAATGGGAATCGGTTCAGTTTGTGAGGCTCAGCCACTAAGGTTCTGTTCTTACGCCCAATTTTTTTGCAAGTTATCTATAAGTATTATTATAAGTTTCACTAAAATGTGTGGCATATCATAACCTTAAAATATAATAACCTTTCTTTTAACTCCATTTTTCCACCAATATTAAACTCTTACTAAAGATGGAGTTATATTTGTAATTTAATTCCATTTTTTTAATTTTCTCGGTAATATTTCGACCTATTATACAATTTTTTTCCCCTAAAAAACTCACATTCTAACTATTTCTCTAGTAATTGTATTTCCCTGATAAATTTTTTTTTTCTTCTACCAAACCCCCTAAGGCAGTGTTTGGTTGGAGGTATCTTAGGAGATAGATAGACATTTGAGATTGGGTATCTAGTTTTACCATGTTTGGTAGAAGAGATTGCAATATTTTCCCACCCAACGTACTTGCCCAGCAATCGATATTCGCCTGTTAAATAGAACAAAATACACAGCCACACAATACCACTTGACATGTGGTATTGTGTGTTGTCCGGCTAAGTGGAACAAAAAGCAACAAATATGTTGACAAACATACCCTCATAAACTCCTACCAAATCTACTTGCAGATTTATAGCTCATCTTCAATATCCCTGCCAAATAACATAATCTTCCTCTCTCTGGTTTGAAACCCAAACCAAATCATCACTGAGCATGAAGGTTGCGTACGTGGGAGGTGAGATAAAGGGAACACAGGATTTTGATTTTCATCTGTTTTCTTTTTTTTCTCCACAAAGATGTGTTTTTACCTTATCCATGGTGTTATGATGGAATTTAACATAATGGATGTAGGTGAAAAAAGGTTCTTTAGACTTGAAATTCATATTTGTCCTTCAGAATTTTTGGTTTCAACTAATGTCTGTGAGGTTAATTTTGTTCTATTCTGCTCATCATATTATTTTTGGGTTTATTTTTCGTTATGTGTTTTCATTCACTGATTGTGCAGATAAAGAACACAATTTTATAGCAATTGCGGTGGTCAAGGTTGCCATGGATTGTGTCAATAACAGCCCAGAAAAAAGACCCGTAATAATCCATGTGCTTCGTGTTGTTGGGTACATTGTCCATATACTGTGATTGAGAACATATGTGATGCATTGAATCCATTTTAGTTGGTTTACTTTTTTTACTGTTTTGTCAAGGTTTACAATGATTTCAAGCTGCAACTATTAAAAGGGTTGTTTTGGTAATTGCAACTTATTTTTCCATCAATATTTAACCTTCAACTAAACATAAGACTTACAAAATTTTATCCAATTTTTTCGGTAAAATTTTGGCCAACCAAACAATATTTTTTTGATTTTCCTACCAAACTCACTTTCCAACTATTTTTCCATTAATTACATTTCTCTAATATTCAAAAAATTTCTTCTAATCAAATGCCCCCTAAGAGTTAAGTATGTAATGTGTTGGAATGTTGGGCTTGACACTGTGGAAGTGTGGAGTTCTGAGATTTTAACCCATTAAAAGAATTGGGCCTCTCATCAATCATAAATAGTTAATCATTAACCACGTGGCTATATCGTGGCCACCGAAAGTGGTCCCCACTAAAAACGTGTCTTTGAAGAGTTTATCATCTGCCACCCAAAATTCCCGTTTTCAAACGGATAATATAGTTAATTAGTAACACACATGGCTTCAACTCCTCTCCTCTCACCACCAACCACCGCCACACGCGCCGCCGTCAGCCACCACTCGCTGCAACCGTCATCAACTTCTCTCTTCCCCTGCTTCCCCACCAAGTCCAATCCCCACCGTCGACTCACAAAGCTACACGTGTCCTCTCCCACCAACAAGTCCACCACCCCCACCCCACCAAACACCGCCCAAAAACCCGCCGGAGAAAGCATCTTCTTCGACGGAGGAGCCCACTACGGAGACCTGGTGACGAATCTGCTCCTGGGTTTCACCCTGGTGTGGCTTCCCCTGACATTAGCGGCGGTTTCGAGGGCGTTGTACCTGAGGTACAGGTTCACGAACCTGAGGGTGACGGTGATATCGGGGCTCACGGGTCAGGACAGAAGCGACTTCTCGTACAACGTGATAAAGGACGTTCAGGTGGTTCCACGCTTCATTGGTGAGTGGGGTGATGTTGTAATCACCTTGAAGGATGGCACCAAGGTCGACCTAAGGAGTGTGCCCAGGTTCAGAGAAATCGCCAAGTATTGTCTTGACATGTCTCAGAAGCCTCTTGTTTCCAAAGAAAATGGACCAAAAGGATTCTGAGATTTATTTTTTCACAATCTTCTTTTTCTCATACAGGTATTTCTTTATTTATAAGTATGTACATTTTTTTTTTTCTTTTTGTATCAATGATAATTGAATGTGATCTGGTTGTGAAGTTTTGGATTCTTTGCAATTTGCAAATTGCAAGTGATACACTCTAGTTCATGGGATATTATTATTAAGCATGTTATGCATAGCTCCCAAATTGATTTAATCCTAAGTATGTTAGGCGCAATAAATATTTAGATATTAAGTTTTATGATTTCGTATATAGGGTGAGGGAGATGTAACCATTTTGATCCGTAAAGCAATAGTCAACAACAGATATAAAGTTCTTTGTGTTTGTGTATGAGGTGAAGAGAGAAGCTATCCTTATTTTTTATATGCATAGCAAGACTATACAGTCTCAATTGGGTAAATGAATTTAGAAGAGAGAGTTATTCTTGTGATACCAATACGGGTTAACTTAGCCACCATGAAACAAAGCTGCATATCCAGGTCTCGATCTCGAGATCGCTACTTATTAAATTTTTAACACAATTATATATTCAGAACTCGAATTCGACACTACTGGTTAAATTGATATAACACCAGACTCGCTTTATGGATTGAAGTTCAAATCATTCTGATACTTCCAAAGTTCAAAAGATATATACTATCCGTACGTGTGATTGTGAAAGAGCTTCAGTAGTTTTAAGTTTTAACCACCATTTCTGCAAGAAAATTTTGCGGAATATTAATTGAGTTAATCTTAAGTTTTTAGAGGAACAAACTTGTTGGAGACGTACATAAATCCTAATTTCCATCTTCCTTGCAAAAATTCAAATGGTGGACTGGAAAGTGGTCACACTCCATAGAAGGAACCTTTTAATGACCCAATGAATAATGTGAAAAGAAGTAAAGTGATCATCACAACACATTTAAGCCAATTCTTCTACTACTTTTCTCTTATCTCTCATCAACATTAACCCATTTTGCACACTCCCAACCGCATTGAGTCTGAAAGTCACTATTCACATATAGGGTCTGATCTGAGATATCTTTTTGACGAGTTTGGGAGGCTTTAAGCATCTAAAGACATAGTGAATTCAACAGCAAAAACGGAAGATGTTTGCAGTGAAGATGTTATGAGTGGGCTCACTAATGAAGAGGAAGAAATCAAGCGTACGGAGATATGGACCTGGACTAGAATTTATTAGACCATCAGCCAAGCCCACTTAATAGATGGTCTAGGAGGAACAGGGTTAAACCAAAATGGATGACGGATTTCCAAGTGTAACAGATAGGGTTCTTGGAGTGTGACTAAGAAGGTTGTTATACCTGATATGTAATAGGTGTTAGGGGTGTTCATCAACCAATCAAACCGATTCAAATCGCGGTGACCGAACCAAAAAATCGATAATCGAAAACTGAAAAAAAAATCAAAATTTTTAATTGGATTGCATCGATTTTCGAATTGGTTGGTGAAAATCGATCCAATTCAAAGCGATCTAATATATTAATTTTTCTCTACCTACTTGGGTCTTTTCCCAATCATAGCCCAAAAATTTCTAAACTCAAGATCCATTAATCCATCAACTAAACCTAAGAAAAAATCTAGTCACATCTCATCAACAAAATTTCATCTGTGTAGGGTTTCATATCTCATTGCCAAAAAAAAAAAGTATATTATCGTTTACTCATGCTTTTGTATTTCATTTTTTTTTTACAAAGCCAATATATATAAAAGATGTTATTTGCACAAAAATTATGAAACAAATTTTAGGATTTTAAAAAAAATCGAAAACCGATCTAATCCAAACCGAAAAAAATTGGATTGGATCGGATGGGTTTTGAAAAATAATCCAAACTGAATGGATGATTACATGATTAAACCGAAGAGATTGGATCGGATGATTTTTGCTTCCAAAATCGATCCAATCCAAACCGCGAACACTTCTAATAGGTGTGGGTTGTTAGATTCTGTTATGTGTGTGAGTGTTGTTTTACGTGTAATGGTTGTGTGAGCACAATTCTGTTATAGAGGTGCTAGTATGGTTATATAGGAAGACTGGAATTTGCATTTGATTTTAACAAAGTATTTTGTATAACCATTTTGGTTAAGGAGGAATTCTCCCCTCGAAGTGAGATACATCTTTTTTATAAATTGGTGTTTTCATTGCCGACCTCACCCTCCATGACGACTCCTTCCATCAATGCCACTCACCAGCAATCACTTCAATCTATTTTTGCGGAGATGAAATTTGGTTTTGCAATGATGAACACCACATGCGAGACCATTTCGTGCTTGCTCCGAAAATTGATCCATGAGTAGCATGAAGCAAAATCAGTTATCAAAATTCATGAGGCTTTTCACAAGTATTCGTTGAAGCTAACTATTCACCGATCCGAAGTGATAGACCAAAATGAGGTGCTTCGGACAGAGGTGGAACAACCTATTGATGAATCACTGAACAATCGAGAGATGTTTCATGAATTTTTGCGAATGCATCTCCTTTGAATCAAGTTGCTTGTGTTGATGTTGATGCAGATCCAGATATCGAAGCCTCACTGCTCTATGCGGCAGCGCTGCCTTCTTTGACCTCTCTAGTCATTGATGATGTCATCAAGAAGCCCGCATACGGAGAAGCTATCCCTCTACCAGAAACAATGGCGTTACGTAAATCAGGTGACTTCACATTCGTTAATTTTCCATTTGCTTTTCTCTTTTGGGTGGGGTTTGACACTGACCCCCCACTGGCCCTCCGTGGCTCGACAATGATCCTCCGGGGTTTGACGTTGCTCCCATGGGTGCACAGACTCATGCACAAGCACTAGTAATTGGTGCATTTTTTCTTGTGTCGACTGTGAACAATGCCAAGATCAATATTGATATGAATATCTGTGGGTTTTTGCATATTGTGTGCATGATGTTCGATGAAAGGCGTGAACAACAACCTTTGGTTCATGCCAGCTGGTATACAATCTCCTTTGTTAACGTTGGTCCACAGTCATCTGCCATAGTTCATAAAATTTCTCAAATTGCTAATGTTGTCCAAGTTCCTCTTATTTCACTGCCACTGATCCAACCCTGTCCTCCCTCCAGTTTCCTTTCTTTTTTACGGACTACACAATGTCACTCACATGAAATGACTGCAATGGCTGAACTAATTGAATTTAATGGATGGAAAAAGGTCATTTCTGTATTCTTAGATGATGATTATGGAAGAAATGGAATATCTGCTTTGGGTGATGAACTTGAAAAAAGGAGATTGAAAATGGGTCACAAGTGGGCTCACTAATGAAGAGGAAGAAACCAAGTGGCTGGAGATATGGACCTAGACTAGAACTTATTGGATCTTCAGCCAAGCCCAAATAATAGATGGTCTAGGAAAAACAGGGTTAAACCAAAATGGATTAGGGATTTCCAAGTGTAACAAATAGGGGTGCTTGGAGTGTGACTAAGAAGGTTGTTATAGCTGATATGTAATAGGTGTGGGTTGTTAGATTCTGTTTTGTGTGTGTGTGAGTGTTGCTTTACGTGTGATGGTTGTGTGAGCACAATTCTATTATAGGGGGTGCTAGTGTGGTTATATAGGAAGACTATAATTTGCATTTGATTTTAACAAAGAAGTATTTTCTAGAATCATTTTGGTTAAGGAGAAATTTTTTCCCTCGAAGAGGGATAGCTCTTTCTTATCAAAAGAAACCAAAGGGAAGATCTACAAGCCTTGGATGTGCTTGGTCATGTGTATAAATTTGACATGGTGTCTACAACCTTCAAGGCCCTGGCCTGTTTAGCTATTCTTCTAAGTTCCTTAAATTTCCTCAACTTTGTCCTCATTCCATGAATTGAATATCAACAATTGTTCATCTTTTTTCTTGATTTGATTTCGTTTAAGATGAAGATCAATACTGGGAAATAGGTTACCGAATTTTTTCTAAGTCATTTATGGCATTGAACTACTTACCCTTGTGATTGGTAGATGAAAGAAAAACACGTTTAATAATTAGCTTTTATTTCCTTAATTAATGCCAATCTTATAATAAATGTGTAATTATGTAATGTAACAAATGGTAGCTGCGTATATATAAGATCTTATTAAATACAACTAGGATGGAAGGTCAATAACTCTTGATCGTTTGGCAAAAAAATGTAAATCGCATGTCATTGGCAAAAGTACCATACCAACTCTAGCGGCATACCTCACAGCAATAATAAATAGTAATTGTACCAGCATTTAAAAAATAATAATTTATCATTGAAATAGATAAGTATAAATATACAATCCACAAAAAGCATTATAGCTATCCACATGTGTGAAAAAAAGAATTTGAAAGGTAGTAATATAGGCATAGAGCATATTAAATTAATATACTTAATGAGTAATAATATTTGCACATATATTTTTTTTTATATTAGTTGCATATCACTTTTATTTTAGAATAATAGAATAAAAAACCATAAATTGTCATATATTTTACTTTCAATTTTTTTTTTCAAACAAGTAAAAGGTTATGCTCATTTGTTAACTTTCCCAATTATTTTGGAATGGATATGATTGTTCATTGGGATTAAAATAGTTTAAGTTCATGTAGTTTGATCCAGACCTGATGGGTTAGACTGATATAGGATATAGTTTCAAGCCTGCCCTTGCTCAGCCCAATAAGAGAATAAAACTGATTGGGGGTATAAGGCCCCACTTTGACACAACAAAAACAGAAACAGAGAGGAAAAATAATTATATTAACCTTTAAATTTTAATAAATTAGAATTATGATATACTTTGAATTGAATCAAAACTGAATATATTATTATTTATACACTTTAAAGACAATTTCATGTTCAAATAGTTATTTTTACAAAAAAAATATATTTTAAAATAAAGTGATGTGGCCCAGTATTAATTATTTTTTAAGTTATACAAAATTTTATAAAAATATGTTTCATAAACATTTTCAATCCGAATCAATGTTATAAAAACTGGACCGACCCGGCCAGGTCGACCTGGAAACTGGTGAACCGGTCATGTAATCGGTCCGGTTTTCATATTGGACCGGCCATGTTACAGAACCGGTGTAACCCGGTGCGACCCGGCCGGTTTTCGTAAAAACCGGTGACCCGGCCCGGTCTAAAAAAAAAAACTAATTTATTTTCATAAATTAATGTCATTTTTTTTTTTTACTCTCAAACACAAATGATTTGTTTTCTTTTGAAATATTTGAGTGATTTGTAGCTTATTAACTTACATAGATTATGTACATGCAATACTAATATTATCTTGATTATGCAATATACAGGGAATCTCGACTTGATTTATAATTAGAGATGTCGTTTACTGAACCTGAAACACTAGTATAACAAATATTATATGTTTGATTGATCTTTTGTTGGATAATATTGTGTAATTTATTATTTTCATATTAAATATTTGAAATTAGTATATTTTTTTGCAAGTATTTAAGTATATATATAGTTTTTTTAATACAAATTATAGATTTACATATACTTACCGGGTCATGCGGTTGAACCAGTGACCCAATGATCCAATACCTTGACCGGGTCAATAACCAAGCCGAGTTTAATAACAATGTTCCTTACTACTATTTCACAATTAACCAAACATCAACTCAAAAACTTACACAAATATTTCCAGGACAAATTTTGGTCAACCAAACATCAACTCGGAAACTTACCCAAATATTCTGAGGACAAATTTTGGTCAACCAAACATCAACTCAAAAACTTACCCAAATATTCGCAGGACAAATTTTGACCAACCAAACACATTTTTGTAACTTATCCGGGAAAAAATATTTCCCACCACATTCCAGCAAAATTATTTTTCCGGTGAAATTTTTTTTTCTCCTATTCCAAACACCTCCTAAGGGAATCACCTCTACTCCCAAACGCCAAAAACCAGTAAAAATCTCATCACTGTTCTGGTTCTTCTTCTACTCATAAGTTCTTCTTCTTTCTCCCTTTGAGCTTCTAATTATCACAGTTACCTATTAGTAGTAGAGTTGTTGTTATTAGTTTTAGTTTGTATATAAGTCTATGTGTATGCCTCTTTCAACTTAACGAAGCTATTATTCAAATTTTAAATTTCTCTCGATTTCTAGATATGGAACTTGTTTACTTTGTGCAAGTTTCGTATCTAGAATTGCAATTAGTTAATGCATTGATTTGTGAGTATAGGAAGGGCATGATTTTATTTGGCAATGTGGGCTATACAAATATAAAAGTTTGCTAATACATGCGTCTTTAAGGGCAATATCTTCAGTTATTGTGCTTGCTCTATTGTAAAAGTTTGTATAATAACTGAAGATATTGCCCTTAAAGACACATGTATTAGCAAACTTTTATATTTAGGTTTATATTTTGATTAATGCAAGAAACATTAGTCCAATAGATTAATTGTCTTCATGTCATTGCTGACTTCAATTCATTCTCCTTAGGGCCCACTTCTCAATTGCTACCTGAACACTTATTAGTCTGGCAACTATAATCTGAAGGAGCCTAATTCAAGCATACAAAGGATACTTCAGATAAAAATATGAAATCAGCATATGTTAAAAGTGTTCAAGGATCATTACACAAATATTCGCAGGACAAATTTTGGTCAACCAAACATCAACTCAGAAACTTACCTAAATATTCGCAGGACAAATTTTGGTCAACCAAACATCAACTTAGAAACTTACCCAAATATTCACAGGACAAACAACCAAGCACATTTTTGTAACTTAACCGGGAAAAATATTTCCCACCACATTCCGGCAAAAATATTTTCCCGGTGAAATTTTTTTTCTCCTATTGCAAACACCCCCAAAACATTTTATTCCTTGTCTATGCGCCCCACGGGACCCGCCCAATCTTCTTTACATTATGCCAAACAATAGAAAGAGAAGTGTCTTGCAGAGGGCCAATAATAAATGTTCTTTTTCCCTTAGGGAACGTTTGGTACCCAGATTCTTTTGGTTTTCCTTGGAAAGGTGTGTAGGGAGAATTTCATGTCCACGTTTGGTAGCAATAAAAGCTACACTTTTCCGGGTAACACTTTTGCCTGTATTTTTTAGTTAACGTGTAAACTCTGGTACAGACACATTGTAAATTACTCCATCGATAAGTTGGTATATTTTTTTGCTCGGAAAGAAAAAAGTAGCGAAATAATCTGGACGAAATTAACCCGAATTTTTTGTGTACTATCTGTAAAGTTGGAGTTATTTTTGAAAATTAATCATACATTCCTTACTACTATTTCACAATCAACCAAACATCAATTCAGAAACTTACCTAAATATTCCCAGGACAAATTTTGGTCAACCAAACATCAACTCAGAAACTTACCCAAATATTTGCAGGACAAATTTTGACCAACCAAGCACATTTTTGTAACTTATATCCGGGAAAAATATTTCCCACCACATTCCGGCGAAATTATTTTCCCGGTGAAATTTTTTTTCTCTTATTCCAAACACCCCCAAAACATTTTACTCCTTGTCTACATGCCCCATGGGACCCGCCCAATCTTCCTTTCGTTATGCCAACAAATAAAAAGAGAAGTGTCTTGCAGAGGGCCAATAATAGATGTTCCTTATCCCTTAGGGAACGTTTGGTACCCAGTTTTTTTTGTTTTTCTTGGAAAGCTGTGTAGGGAGAATTTGATATCCAAGTTTGGTAGCAATAAAAGCTACACTTTTCCGGGTAACACTTTTGCATGTTTTTTTAGTTAACGTGTAAACTCTGGTACGGACACATTGTAAATTACTCCTTCGATAAGTAGGTATATTTTCTTGCTCGGGAAGTAAAAAAGAAGCGAAATAATTTGGACGAAATTAACCCGACTTTTTTGTGTACTATCTGTAAAGTTGGGGTTATTTTTATAAATTAATCCTACATTCCTTACTACTATTTCACAATCAACCAAACATCAACTCAGAAACTTAGACAAATATTCACAGGATAAATTTTGGTCAACCAAACATCAATTCAGAAATTTACCCAAATATTTGCAGGACAAATTTTGGTCAACCAAACATCAACTCAGAAACTTACCCATATATTCGCAGGACAAATTTTGGCCAACCCATCACATTTTTGTATCTTATCCGGGAAAAATATTTCCCACCACATTCCGGCAAAATTATTTTCCCGGTGAATTTTTTTTTCTCCTATTCCAAACACCCCCTTAGGGAATCACCTCTACTCCCAAACACCAAAAACCAGTAAAAACCTCATCAAAAATTAATTGTCTTCAAGTCATTGCTGACTTCAATTCGTGCTCCTTAGGGCCCACTTCTCAATTGCTACCTGAACACTTATTAGTTTGGCAGCTATAATCCGAAGGAGCCTAGTTCAAGCATACAAAGGATACTTCAGATAAAAATAATGGAGGTGGAGAATAGGAGAAATGAGACAAGATATTTGTGGTCGTACTGTTACTGGTATTGGAATTCAAGAAAGACAACTAGAGAAGATGGTTTGGATTCCTTAAATGCAACGATAATGGAGAGAAAGCCCGGATGGAAGGCTATTGCTTTCATATTAGGTCCCTGTCCTAACACAAAAATGTGCATATGTATATAGTATTTATTGATATATAATTTTTTATCAAGTTGAATTAACTAAGCTGGTCTTATGATTTATAGGAAATGAAACCATTGAGAGAATTTCAACATACGGCATGACAGCAAATATCAAGTTGAATTAACCAAGCCCGGTTTGCACAAGTGTTTGTTGCAGCTTACAAGAAACGTCACCTTAAAAACCCAGCAGCAAATGAAGAGGAAGTTGTTTACTATGATCCCCCACTAAGAGATGATAAAGCAGTCAAGATACCTTTAACCAAACAACTTAGGTAATGTTCCTCAATCTCACTTGTGTTTTTTAATTTTTACTCCTCAACTAATTAAGGACAAACTTTTTTGGTAACTTTGGTTTTTGCACAGATTTCTAAACAAAGATGCTCTGATACAAGTGAATGAAGTTAATGCAGAAGGTTTGGTCACAAATCCGTGGAGGCTTTGCAGCATTCAGCAAGTTGAAGAAGTCAAATGTTTAATTAAAATGATACCAATATGGGCTTCTGGTATCTTGTGTTTGATACCAATGGCACAAACAAGAACCTTTCCTATAGCACAGGCCATGAAAATGGACCGACACCTTGGACCACACTTTGAAATTCTCGCTGCATCATTCCTTGTAGTGGCCTTAATTAGCATTGGTATATGGCTCCCCTGTTATGACCTCTTTGTGCAAAGAGCTCTGGCAAAAGTCACAAAACAAGATGAAGGGTTGACAAGCCTTAGAAATATAGTAATTGGCAACATCTTCTGAATTCTTACAGTGGTAAGTGGTGGTTTGGTGGAGTGGCGAAGAAGGAGTGTGGCTATCTCACAAAGAATACTTCAGATAAAAATATGAAATCAGCAGATGTTGAAAGTGTTCAGGGATCCTTACACAAATATTCCCAGGAAAAATTTTGGTCAACCAAACATTAACTCAGAAACTTACCCAAATATTCGCAAGACAAATTTTGACCAACCAAGCACATTTTTGTAACTTATATTTGGGAAAAAATATTTCCCACCACATTCCGTCGAAATTATTTTCCTGGTGAAATTTTTTTTCTCCTATTCCAAACACCCCCAAAACATTTTATTTCTTGTCTACGCGCCCCACGGGACCCGCCCAATCTTCCTTTCGTTATGCCAACAAATAGAAAGAGAAGTGTCTTGCAGAGGGCCAATAATAGATGTTCCTTTTCCCTTAGGGAACGTTTGGTACCCAGATTCTTTTTGTTTCCTTGGAAAGCTGTGTAGGGAGAATTTTTATATCCAAGTTTGGTAGCAATAAAAGCTACACTTTTGCATAATTTTTTAGTTAACGTGTAAGCTCTGGTACGGACACATTGTAAATTACTCCTTCGATAAGCAGGTATATTTTCTTGCTCGGGAAGTAAAAAAGTAGCGAAATGATCTGGACGAAATTAACCCGACCTTTTTGTGTACTATCTGTAAAGTTGGGGTTATTTTTATAAATTAATCCTACATTCCTTACTACTATTTCACAATCAACCAAACATCAACTCAGAAACTTAGACGAATATTCACAGGATAAATTTTGGTCAACCAAACATCAACTCAGAAATTTACCCAAATATTTGCAGGACAAATTTTGGTCAACCAAACATCAACTCAGAAACTTACCCAAATATTCGCAGGACAAATTTTGGCCAACCCATAACATTTTTGTAACTTATCCAAAAAAAAAAATATTTCCCACCACATTCTGGCAAAATTATTTTCCCGGTGAAAATTTTTTTCTCCTATTCCAAACACCCCCTAAGGGATTCACCTCTACTCCCAAACACCAAAAACCAGTAAAAACCTCATTAAAGATTAATTGTCTTCATGTCATTGCTGACTTCAATTCATGCTCCTTAGGGCCCACTTCTCAATTGCTACCTGAACACTTATTAGTTTGGCATCTATAATCCGAAGGAGCCTAGTTCAAGCATACAAAGGATACTTCAGATAAAAATAATGGAGGTGGAGAATAGGAGAAATGAGACAAGATATTTGTGGTCGTACTGTTACTGGTATTGGAATTCAAGAAAGACAACTAGAGAAGATGGTTTGGATTCCTTAAATGCAACGATAATGGAGAGAAAGCCCGGATGGAAGGCTATTGCTTTCATATTAGGTCCCTGTCCTAACACAAAAATGTGCATATGTATATAGTATTTATTGATATATAATTTTTTATCAAGTTGAATTAACTAAGCTGGTCTTATGATTTATAGGAAATGAAACCATTGAGAGAATTTCAACATACGGCATGACAGCAAATATCAAGTTGAATTAACCAAGCCCGGTTTGCACAAGTGTTTGTTGCAGCTTACAAGAAACGTCACCTTAAAAACCCAGCAGCAAATGAAGAGGAAGTTGTTTACTATGATCCCCCACTAAGAGATGATAAAGCAGTCAAGATACCTTTAACCAAACAATTTAGGTAATGTTCCTCAATCTCACTTGTGTTTTTTAATTTTTACTCCTCATCTAATTAAGGACAAACTTTTTTGGTAACTTTGGTTTTTGCACAGATTTCTAAACAAAGATGCTCTGATACAAGAGAATGAAGTTAATGCAGAAGGTTTGGTCACAAATCCGTGGAGGCTTTGCAGCATTCAGCAAGTTGAAGAAGTCAAATGTTTAATTAGAATGATACCAATATGGGCTTCTGGTATCTTGTGTTTGATACCAATGGCACAAACAAGAACCTTTCCTATAACACAGGCCATGAAAATGGACCGACACCTTGGACCACACTTTGAAATTCTCGCTGCATCATTCCTTGTAGTGGCCTTAATTAGCTTTGGTATATGGCTCCCCTGTTATGACCTCTTTGTGCAAAGAGCTCTGGCAAAAGTCACAAAACAAGATGAAGGGTTGACAAGCCTTAGAAATATAGTAATTGGCAACATCTTCTTAATTCTTACAGTGGTAAGTGGTGGTTTGGTGGAGTGGCGAAGAAGGAGTGTGGCTATCTCACAAAGAATACTTCAGATAAAAATATGAAATCAGCAGATGTTGAAAGTGTTCAGGGATCCTTACACAAATATTCCCAGGAAAAATTTTGGTCAACCAAACATTAACTCAGAAACTTACCTAAATATTCGCAAGACAAATTTTGACCAACCAAGCACATTTTTGTAACTTATATCCGGGGAAAAATATTTCCCACCACATTCCGGCAAAATTATTTTTCCGGTGAAATTTTTTTTCTCCTATTCCAAACACCCCCCAAAACATTTCATTCCTTGTCTACGCGCCCCACGGGACCCGCCCAATCTTCCTTTCGTTATGCCAACAAATAGAAAGAGAAGTGTCTTGCAGAGGGCCAATAATAGATGTTCCTTTTCCCTTAGGGAACGTTTGGTACCCAGATTCTTTTTGTTTTCCTTGGAAAGCTGTGTAGGGAGAATTTGATATCCAAGTTTGGTAGCAATAAAAGCTACACTTTTGCATAATTTTTTAGTTAACGTGTAAGCTCTGGTACGGACACATTGTAAATTACTCCTTCGATAAGCAGGTATATTTTCTTGCTCGGGAAGTAAAAAAGTAGCGAAATGATCTGGACGAAATTAACCCGACCTTTTTGTGTACTATCTGTAAAGTTGGGGTTATTTTTATAAATTAATCCTACATTCCTTACTACTATTTCACAATCAACCAAACATCAACTCAGAAACTTAGACGAATATTCACAGGATAAATTTTGGTCAACCAAACATCAACTCAGAAATTTACCCAAATATTTGAAGGACAAATTTTGGTCAACCAAACATCAACTCAGAAACTTACCCAAATATTCGCAGGACAAATTTTGGCCAACCCATCACATTTTTGTAACTTATCCAAAAAAAAAAATATTTCCCACCACATTCTGGCAAAATTATTTTCCCGGTGAAATTTTTTTTCTCCTATTCCAAACACCCCCTAAGGGATTCACCTCTACTCCCAAACACCAAAAACCAGTAAAAACCTCATTAAAGATTAATTGTCTTCATGTCATTGCTGACTTCAATTCATGCTCCTTAGGGCCCACTTCTCAATTGCTACCTGAACACTTATTAGTTTGGCATCTATAATCCGAAGGAGCCTAGTTCAAGCATACAAAGGATACTTCAGATAAAAATAATGGAGGTGGAGAATAGGAGAAATGAGACAAGATATTTGTGGTCGTACTGTTGCTGGTATGGAATTGAAGAAAGTCAACTAGAGAAGATGGTTTGGATTCCTTAAATGCAAGGACAATGGAGAGAAAGCCTGGATGGAAGGCTATTGCTTTCATATTAGGTCCCTGTCCTAACACAAAAATGTGAATATGTATATAATATTTATTGATATATAATTTTTTATCAAGTTGAGTTAACTAAGTCGGTCTTATGATTTATAGGATATGAAACCATTGAGAGAATTGCAACATACAGCATGACAACAAATTTCATGTTGTATTTGTTGAAAGTGTTCAATTTGAGTCACGTTGGTGCTGCAACTGTTATCAGCATATGGTCTGGAGCGAGCAATTTCATATCAATTATTGGTGCTTCTCTTGCTGACGCCTATTTAGGAAAATTCAAAATCATTGCTATGGCATCATTTGGAACACTTGTGGTATGCTCTACTCTATTATATTTAACAGTACAATCGCTCATTGATTTGTCAATTTTAATTTGAAGGACTTAATTGTTAGCGTCAATTTAACCAACCAAAGTTTCTTAATTCCCTTGGAGATATTTTTCTTCTTTGTTAAATATTTGAAACATTATAATAAATCAAATCGGGGCATCATCTTCCATCACTAACATCTCATATTAGTTGTGAGTACCCTCTATGCTATTTTTTTCCATATAAATAGGCAAATATTAGGGTCAGCATTGAAGTGCCAGTAAAGTTAGTACAGTTGTTCTTGTAACAAAATGTCAAAAGTTTGAAAATTAGTCTCTTTGAAGAAAAAAAAAAAAAAAAAAGCGAAAGTAAAGTTCAGTATAATTGACTCTCACCTTTACCCCTAACAAAAACATTTGGCTCCACCATCAAGTATTTATTTTTATGTCTTTGTGTGCGTAAAATGAACATATCTGATGTATAACCTTGTTGGTTTAACGCAATATAGCATAAATAAGAAGGTTTTAGTTGACATAGTAGGAAAATAAAATAAAATAAGGAAATAACTAATACTTAGGTTATGAAATCACAGCAGAGCTAAGTGATATCATAAGGGAAAACTGAATTTAACCATAATTGTTACTGCAATCTTGATTATATGCAATGGTGTGCGTCAATTAATCATTTGCTGGTGATTAATTAGGGAATGGTGATATTAACACTGACAGCATGGCTGCCACAATTTCATCCTCCAAGTTGCTCTTCTCTGCACCAAGCATATGTTCCCCCAAATACTAATCAGCTGGCCATCTTAATTTTGGTAATGTCTTTGCTGGGTATAGGCACAGGTGGAATTAGAGCATGTAGTATTCCCTTTGCCATTGATCAATTTGACACAACTTCCTCTGATGGAAGCAAATGAGTCAACAGATTCTTAAATGGGTACTACACCACACAGACATTGGTCATGTTGATCAATAATACTTTAATATTTTACATCCAAAACAAAAACTGGGTCATGGGTTTTGGGATACTAGTCCTTATCATGTTGTGTGCAATAATCACATTTTTTGCCAGAACAAGAACTTATTTTTACCTTCCAGCAGAAGCGAGCATATTTTCTGGTATTGCACAAGTGTTTGTTGCAGCTTACAAGATGCGTCACCTTAAAAACCCAGCAGCAAATGAAGAGGAAGTTGTTTACTATGATCCTCCACTAAGAGATGATAAAGCAGTCAAGATACCTTTAACCAAACAACTTAGGTAATGTTCCTCAATCTCACTTGTGTTTTTTAATTTTTACTCCTCATCTAATTAAGGACAAACTTTTTTGGTAATTTTGTTTTTTGCACAGATTTCTAAACAAAGATGCTCTGATACAAGAGAATGAAGTTAATGCAGAAGGTTTGGTCACAAATCCATGAAGGCTTTGCAGCATTCAACAAGTTGAAGAAGTCAAATGTTTAATCAAAATGATACCAATATGGGCTTCTGGTATCTTGTGTTTGATACCAATGGCACAAGCAGGAACCTTTCCTATAGCACAGGCCATGAAAATGGACCGACACCTTGGACCACACTTTGAAATTCCTGCTGCATCATTCGTTGTAGTGGCTTTAATTAGCATTGGTATATGGCTCCCCTGTTATGACCTCTTTGTGCAAAGAGCTCAGGCAAAAGTCACAAAACAAGATGAAGGGTTGACAAGCCTTTGAAATATAATAATTGGCAACATCTTCTCAATTCTTACAATGGTAAGTGGTGGTTTGGTGGAATGGCGAAGAAGGAGTGTGGCTATCTCACAAAGGATACTTCAGATAAAAATATGAAATCAGCAGATGTTGAAAGTGTTCAAGGATCCTTACAGAAAATATTCCCAGGACAAATTTTGGTCAACAAAAACATCAACTCAGAAACTTACGCAAATATTTGCAGGACAAATTTTGACCAACCAAACACATTTTTGTAACTTATATCCGGGAAAAAAATTTCCCACCACATTCCGGCGAAATTATTTTCCCAGTGAATTTTTTTTTTCTTATTCCAAACACCCCCAAAACATTTTATTCCTTGTCTATACGCCTCACGGGACCCGCCCAATCTTCCTTTCGTTATGCCAACAAATAGAAAGAGAAGTGTCTTGCAGAGGGACAATAATAGATGTTCCTTATCCCTTAGGGAACGTTTGGTACCCAGATTCTTTTTGTTTTCCTTGGAAAGCTCTGTAGGGAGAATTTGATATCCAAGTTTGGTAGCAATAAAAGCGACACTTTTCCGGGTAACACTTTTGCATGTTTTTTTAGTTAACGTGTAAACTCTGGTACGGGCACATTGTAAATTACTCTTTCGATAAGTTGGTATATTTTCTTGCTCGGGAAGTAAAAAAGTAGGGAAATAATCTGGACGAAATTAACCCGACTTTTTTGTGTACTATCTGTAAAGTTGGGGTTATTTTTGTAAATTAATCCTACATTCCTTACTACTATTTCACAATCAACCAAACATCAACTCAGAAACTTAGACAAATATTCACAGGACAAATTTTGGTCAACCAAACATCAACTCAGAAACTTACCCAAATATTTGCAGGACAAATTTTGGTCAACCAAACATCAACTCAGAAACTTACCCAAATATTCGCAGGACAAATTTTGGCCAACCAAACACATTTTTGTAACTTATCCGGGAAAAAATATTTCCCACCACATTCCGGCAAAATTATTTTCTCGATGAAATTTTTTTTCTCCTATTGCAAACATCCCCCTAAGGGAATCACCTTTACTCCCAAACACCAAAAACCAGTAAAAACATCATGAAAGATTAATTGTCTTCATGTCATTGCTGACTTCAATTCATGCTCCTTAGGGCCCACTTCTCAATTGCAACCTGAACACTTATTAGTTTGGCATCTATAATCCAAAGGAGCCTAGTTCAAGCATACAAAGGATACTTCAGATAAAAATAATGGAGGTGGAGAATAGGAGAAATGAGACAAGATATTTGTGGTCGTACTGTTGCTGGTATTGGAATTCAAGAAAGTCAACTAGAGAAGATGGTTTGGATTCCTTAAATGCAAGGACAATGGAGAGAAAGCCCGGATGGAAGGCTATTGCTTTCATATTAGGTCCCTGTCCTAACACAAAAATGTGCATATGTATATAATATTTATTGATATATAATTTTTTATCAAGTTGAATTAACTAAGCCGGTCTTATGATTTATAGGAAATGAAACCATTGAGAGAATTGCAACATACAACATGACAACAAATTTCATGTTGTATTTGTTGAAAGTGTTCAATTTGAGTCACGTTGGTGCTGCAACTGTTATCAGCATATGGTCTGGAGCGAGCAATTTCATATCAATTATTGGTGCTTCTCTTGCTGACGCCTATTTAGGAAAATTCAAAATCATTGTTATGGCATCATTTGGAACTCTTGTGGTATGCTCTACTCTATTATATTTAACAGTACAATCGCTCATTGATTTGTCAATTTTAATTTGAAGGGCTTAATTGTTAGCGTCAATTTAACCAACCAAAGTTTCTTAATTCCCTTGGAGATATTTTTCTTCTTTGTTAAATATTTGAAACATTATAATAAATTGACAAATTAAAAACGATTAAAAAATATGGTTAGCTTATGAGGGCACAATCAAACCGGGGCATCATCCTCCATCACTAACATCTCATATTAGTTGTGAGTACCATCTATGCTATTTTTTCCATATAAATAGACAAATATTAGGGTCAGCATTGAAGTACCAGTAAAGTTAGTACAGTTGTTCTTGTAACAAAATGTCAGAAGTTTGAAAATTAGTCTATTTGTAGAAAATAAAAAATAGAGCGAAAGTAAAGTTCAGTATAATTGACTCTCACCTTTACCCCTAACAAAAACATTTGGCTCCACCATTAAGGATATATTTTTATGTCTTTGTGTGCGTAAAATGGACATATCTGATGTATAACCTTGTTGGTTTAACGCAATATAGCATAAATAAGAAGTTTTTAGTTGACATAGTAGGAAAATAAAATAAAATAAGGAAATAACTAATACTTAGGTTATGAAATCACAGCAGAGCTAAGTGATATCATAAGAGAAAACTGAATTTAACGATAATTGTTACAGCAATCTTGATTATATGCAATGGTGTGCGTCAATTAATCATTTGCTGGTGATTAATTAGGGAATGGTGATATTAACACTGACAGCATGGGTGCCACAATTTCATCCTCCAAGTTGCTCTTCTCGGCACCAAGCATGTGTTCCCCCAAATACTAATCAGCTGGCCATCTTAATTTTGGTATTGTCTTTGCTGGGTATAGGCACAGGTGGAATTAGAGCATGTAGTATTCCCTTTGCCATTGATCAATTTGACACAACTTCCTCTGATGGAAGGAAAGGAGTCAACAGATTCTTAAATTGGTACTACACCACACAGACACTGGTCATGCTGATCAATAATACTATAATATTTTACATCCAAAACAAAAACTGGGTCATGGGTTTTGGGATACTAGCCCTTATCATGTTGTGTGCAATAATCACATTTTTTGCCAGAACAAGAACTTATTTTTACCTTCAAGCAGAAGGGAGCATATTTTCTAGTATTGCACAAGTGTTTGTTGCAGCTTACAAGAAGCGTCACCTTAAAAACCCAGCAGCAAATGAAGAGGAAGTTGTTTACTATGATCCCCCACTAAGAGATGATAAAGCAGTCAAGATACCTTTAACCAAACAACTTAGGTAATGTTCCTCAACCTCACTTGTGTTTTTTAATTTTTACTCCTCATCTAATTAAGGACAAACTTTTTTGGTAACTTTGATTTTTGCACAGATTTCTAAACAAAGATGCTCTGATACAAGAGAATGAAGTTAATGCAGAAGGTTTGGTCACAAATCCATGGAGGCTTTGCAGCATTCAACAAGTTGAAGAAGTCAAATGTTTAATTAAAATGATACCAATATGGGCTTCTGGTATCTTGTGTTTGATACCAATGGCACAAGCAGGAACCTTTGTTATAGCACAGGCCATGAAAATGGACCGACACCATGGACAACACTTTGAAATTCTCGCTGCATCATTCGTTGTAGTGGCCTTAATTAGCATTGGTATATGGCTCCCCTGTTATGACCTCTTTGTGCAAAGAGCTCTGGCAAAAGTCACAAAACAAGATGAAGGGTTGACAAGCCTTCGAAATATAGTAATTGGTAACATCTTCTCAATTCTTACAGTGGTATGTGGTGGTTTGGTGGAGTGGCGAAGAAGGAGTGTGGCTATCTCACAAAGGCTACTTCAGATAAAAATATGAAATCAGCAGATGTTGAAAGTGTTCAGGGATCCTTACACAAATATTCCCAGGACAAATTTTGGTCAACCAAACATCAACTCAGAAACTTACCCAAATATTCGCAGGACAAATTTTGACCAACCAAAAACATTTTTGTAACTTATATCCGGGAAAAAATATTTCCCACCACATTTCGGCGAAATTTTTTTCCCTGTGAAATTTTTTTCTCCTATTCCAAACACCCCCCAAGACATTTTATTCCTTGTCTACGCGCCCCACGGGACCCGCCCAATCTTCCTTTCGGTTTTCCAACAAATAAAAAGAAAAGTGTCTTGCAGAGGGCCAATAATAGATGTTCCTTTTCCCTTAGGGAACGTTTGGTACCCAAATTCTTTTTGTTTTCCTTGGAAAACTGTGTAGGGAAAATTTGATATCCAAGTTTGGTAGCAATAAAAGCTACACTTTTTCGGGTAACACTTTCGCATGTTTTTTTAAGTTAACGTGTAAACTCTGGTACGTACACATTGTAAATTACTCCATCGATAAGTTGGTATATTTTCTTGCTCGGGAAGTAAAAAAGTAGCGAAATAATATGGACGAAATTAACCCGACTTTTTTTGTGTACTATCTGTAAAGTTGGGGTTATTTTTGTAAATTAATCCTACATTCCTTACTACAATTTCACAATCAACCAAACATCAACTCAGAAACTTAGACAAATATTCACACTACAAATTTTGGTCAACCAAACATCAACTCAGAAACTTATCCAAATATTTGCAGGACAAATTTTGGTCAACCAAACACAACTCAGAAACTCACCCAAATATTCGCAGGACAATTTTTGGCCAACCAAACACATTTTTGTAACTTATCCGGAAAAAAATATTTCCCACCATATTCTGGCAAAATTATTTTCCCGGTGAAATTTATTTTTCTCCTATTCCAAACACCCCCTAATGGAATCACCTCTACTCCAAAACAACAAAAACCAGTAAAAACCTCATCAAAGATTAATTGTCTTCATGTCATTGCTGACTTCAATTCATGCTCCTTAGGGCCCACTTCTCAATTGCTACCTGAACACTTATTAGTTTGGCAACTATAATCCGAAGGAGCCTAGTTCAAGCATACAAAGGATACTTCAGATAAAAATAATGAAGGTGGAGAATAAAAGAAATGAGACAAGATATTTGTGGTTGTACTGTTGCTGGTATTGGAATTCAAGAAAGTCAACTAGAGAAGATGGTTTAGATTCCTTAAATGCAAGGACAATAGAGAGAAAGCCCGGATGGAAGGCTATTGCTTTCATATTAGGTCCCTGTCCTAACACGAAAATGTGCGTATGTATATAATATTTATTGATATATAATTTTTTATCAAGTTGAATTAACTAAGCCGGTCTTATGATTTATAGGAAATGAAACCATTGACAGAATTGCAACATACGACATGACAACAAATTTCATGTTGTATTTGTTGACAGTGTTCAATTTGAGTCACGTTGGTGCTGCAACTGTTATCAGCATATGGTCTGGAGCGAGCAATTTCATATCAATTATTGGTGCTTCTCTTGCTGACGCCTATTTAGGAAAATTCAAAATCATTGTTATGGCATCATTTGGAACTCTCGTGGTATGCTCTGCTCTATTATATTTAACAGTACAATCGCTCATTGATTTGTCAATTTTAATTTGAAGGGCTTAATTGTTAGCGTCAATTTAACCAACCAAAGTTTCTTAATTCCCTTGGAGATATTTTTCTTCTTTGTTAAATATTTGAAACATTATAATAAATTGACAAATTAAAAACGATTAAAAAATATGGTTAGCTTATGAGGGCACAATCAAACCGGGGCATCATCCTCCATCACTAACATCTCATATTAGTTGTGAGTACCATCTATGCTATTTTTTCCATATAAATAGACAAATATTAGGGTCAGCATTGAAGTACCAGTAAAGTTAGTACAGTTGTTCTTGT